TGTGTGTGTGTGTGTGTGTGCAGGAGTAGCCCCTGATGCATCTGTCTGCCCTGTGGTAACTCTATCTGCCCCTGCTCCATCATATCTGGGAGTGTACTGCATGGTCAGGCTCTGATATCCATTTGTACCTGCTGTAGTAAACTATCAATCTGTAATACATCTGCTGCACAGAGGCGGGCGCTCACGCGCACTGTAACTGCACCCAGGTTCAGAATAGAATTCTAACAATGGAGCTACACATAACCAGAGGATGTAAATGTGATACAGTATTACATAATGTAGTATATTTTTATAATATTGTATAACGTTACTTTATGTAACATGATATAACAGAGTAGAGTATAATATAGGTGTGGAGGGGGATATGGATATTTCATTTCACGATACCGTATCAATATTCTACTGCACTGTATTGATTTTTTTATTAACCATTAACAAGTTAAGCGTGTAAACGCAGTGTGTGTTTACTACGATGACAGAATTCCTATAATTTAATAAAAAATAAAAAAAAACTCAACATACCGCGTGCCCTTTGTATCGCAGTACATTACAGTATATCGTATCGTCGCACCAGTGTCGTGATACTTGATCGTATCGCCAGATTCTTGCCAACACACACCCCTGGTGTGATATACTATAGTTTGTCATAATATAATAAACAATAATGACATATGGTATAATAAAAAACGTTTACATTAGAAACATAATCATCTGACGGAGCCACAACTTTATCAGTTGTTCCAGTCGTTCCAGGATGTTAATATTTTAAAGTGCTCTGAACGAGTGAAGGAAGAGACTGAGTAAGAACTGCACGGTTTAAAGCGATTGGTCAATTTGACCCCTGTGTCTGATGGATGTGGAGGGGATGGTGGATGTCTGCATCCATCACCCGCTGCCGAGAGCAACGGCCTCGAGGTTCAGTCAACTGTCAGCGCACGGAATCATTTCCGATATTTTTTTTTACATTTGAATAAATGATAATGGTTAATAGAAAAAACTGGAGGACCCAGAACCCCATCATGAGAACCACTGCACAACACACGTAAAAACGATGACAACTTTTACCCATATGAGAGGAGAAACTATCACAACATTCATTCAGGTTTGTTTTACTCACGTGGTTTTCTTTTATGTAAGGCAGCGTTTCTTAAACAGACGGTTCTCAGCCCCCTACGAGTCCACAGTGGTACTGCAAGAACACAACACAATAGAACAGAATGAGGTTATTCTCCAGTCCAAATTAACAGTTCATGCACACAGGGATTTTTATGAAAATCAATGTAGAATCTGTTCCTTTCGTGACCTTTTTTCATTCATACCAAAGGTTAGAAACAGTATTTTAACAATGAGAAACACTGATGACGTGTTTTTATAGCCGACGTGTCGCACTTACATGTTTTTATGTCTCCCTCCATGTTCGACCTCCAACTTACCTTGTGCCTGACCGTGTCCCCGCTGCCATATTTACTGGGCTGCAGACTAGAGCGACTGCAGCGTCTCACGTGCACCGCTGGAGCCTCAGCTCCTCAGCAACTTGGTCTCCTCATGTGCAGCATTTTTCACATTATAGAGGGATCCCCGGTCTTTATATCACAAAAACAAACACCGCTGCCGCCGTGCCTTTGCACATGCTCTGTGAACAACTGATGCTGATGTCTCCTGAAGCTGCCAGTTTTGCCTGTCTGCCTGTAAACACAGCCAAAACAGGCAGATGGAGACGGAAGCTGATGGATCGTTTGGCTCCTGCCCAGGCTGGAAAAATCCTTGAAGCACATGAACACATTCAAGGTGAATGACTCAGTGGTGTAGACGCAGAGATGTGACCACATTATACCTTGGCCAGTGTGTCCTGGTGCATGTGCAAATGCTCACATGTCCCCAGGACTCTCCTGTAGGACTGGGTGTAAATCATGGAGTCCTCAGCTAC